CAGAGATCCACCTGTCTCTGCCTCCAAGAGCTGGGATCAAAGATGTACCACCACCGTCCAGTGGAGGGAAATTTTTTTAGAATTATTTATTCTTATTTATTTGTGGGTGCCTGCCTTCTGTTCCTGCATTATGTGGTTGCAATGTCCACAGAGGTCAGAAAAGTTTGTAAAATCCTTTGGAACTGGAGTTACACTACTGGAAGCTGAACTCAGGTCCTTTGTGAGAAAAGCTAGTGCACTTTGATGGGAGATGTCGTTCTGTAAATATGTTTTCTTATTGGTTAATAAATAAAGCCCTATTGGCCAATAGGAAAACAAGATAGGTGGGACTAGGAGACAGGAAGGATTCTGGGAGATGTAGTAGTAGGAGAGTCAAAATGTAGGGACTTGAGAAGAAGAGGTCCCAACCCCCTCTCTGTTAAGATAAGACCATGTGGAAATACTTAGATTGATAGAATTGGGTTAATATTTAAGACAGAGCTAGCCAATAAGAAACACTAGTAACAGGCCAACAGCTTTATATGTAATACAGTGTCTCTCTGTGTTATTTTGGGTTGCTGCGGCTCTGGGAACAGCCTGACGGGAAAACTACTCTTAACAAAATGGTGCCTACAACGTGGAACTAAAAACTTCCACTTAAAAGTTGACAAAAGCTTAAAAAGGGATTATAGAAACAAAAGAACAGAGCCAAGCAAGGCTTCTTGGTAGCAGCATTTTTCTCGGTTGGACTCTGTTTTGCTAGAGACAAGCAGAGATTTGCGCTGCTCCTTTAAGAGAGGTTTCCCGACTCAGCATAAACGGCAAACCCTGCTAACAACTGAATGGTGTGTTCGAGAGCTGGCAATGGCAGTGACCACATCTCCAAGCCTGCAGCAGGCTGCTGGATGGCAGCATAGACCAAGGCATATGCACAGCTCTCAGTGCTGGCGGTAAGTGTACCCTTGCTATCTTGGAAAGCAATGTTCAGCAGACTCGTGGCCAGAAAAAAAATAAAGATTTACAGTAAAGAGAGATTCAGACATTTCTGTCCTGTGTTTCTAGTCCACTACCTCTCTTTTACTAAGTTGTGTAAAAATGACTTAACTAGTTAATTTATTTAGAGACAGGTCCTCACTACTGGCCTGCAGTTTATTGTGTTGATCAGACTGGCCTCAAACTCACAGATATCTGCCTGCCTCTGCTTCTTGAGTGCCTGGGTTAAAGGTGTGCTTCACCATGCCCAGCTCACTAAACTATTTTCTTAGAGATGTTTTTGATGAATAGTAAAGCTAAAGCTAGTTAAAAGTACAGAGGGTTTTCATATACCCCATCTCCCTACATGTACAGCTTTCCCTATTGGCAATATAACTAATAAGCCTACCTTGGTGTATTACTATTCACCAAAGTGCCAAGTTCACAAGAGGTTCATTTTTGTAATGTTCTGTAATTGTTTATAAGCACATGCTGCCGTTATAGTATTATAGAAAGGGGCCTCCACTTTAAAATTATTCTGCCTGCCCCTTCCTTCAGTCCTTTCTAACCCTTGGTAACCATTCATCATTTTACTGTGTCCATGATCCCACCCCAAATGTTAAATAATTGGAACTTTCTAGTCTTTTCAGACTGGCTTCTGTCGCTTAGCAATGTGCACTTCGGCTATCTTCATTTTTTTCTCAGAACTTGATAGATTATTCCTTATTAGTGTTGAATATTCCATTGTGTGTCTAAGCTACATTTTATCCATTCAATTGTGGAAAACCATCCTTATTTACTTCCTAATTTTGGCAGTTAGGAATAAAGCTGCTATAAAGATGTATATGTAGGGTTATTAAAAAATATGGACATATTTGTAATCATTTAAATACCAGGGTCTTATAGTAAGAGTATTTTTAACTTTGTAAGACCTGCCAAATTTGTCTTCCAAAGTGGCTATACCAGTTTTCATTCCCAACAATATTAAGTGTTTACTTCTTTTACCTATGTTTCATTTAGAAGTGTGCTTAATTTCCAAGCATTTTAAGATTGTCCAGCTATGTTTTGCTTGATGACTATTTGTTCTTATTTAGGTTTTTGAGAGAGGATTTCTCTGTAGCCCTGGCTGTCTGGAGCTCTATAGTTCAGGCTGGCCTCAATCTCCACCCCTCGCCTCCCCCCACCCCCACCCCCACCCCCATTGTAGCTGCTGTTTGCAGTGTCTAGAGGGTCTCCATAAGTGCAAGCCAGAATGAGTTTCTTGCAGCCTTCTCCAGAGACTCCGGAAAGTTGAAATCACTGAATGTATTGATAGGGGCAGTTGAGCCGTGTTTAAAATGAGGAGTGGAATGAGTGAAAAGTAAGGGAGACTCCCCTCCCGATTAAAGTATAGTTTAACAGGAAGCCTCTAAAGGCTTACAGTGTGTTTTAAAATATATGTAGGCTTGGGAGAGAAAAAGAAACAGGATAAAGTGGTGTTAAAAAAATAGACAGAGTAGCTGGGTGTGGTGGCACATGCCTTTAATTCCAGCACTCAGGAGGCAGAAACAAGCAAATGTCTGTGATTTCTAAGTGAACCTGGTGTACAGACTGAATTCCAGGGCAGCCAAAGTTACACAGATAAGCCCTGTCTCAATAAATGAAAAAAATACAAGTAAAAGAAATAGAGCAATAAAAAAAAAAAAAAAGCCACATAAAAACGGAAAATACAGAGTCTGGATACTGTATGAATTGCTCGATTGCTAAGGAAGGAACAGCAACTGCTAAAATACTCTTGATTATCAATGCTGCTGAATTAATCCAATTTGTATATTTTAAAAATGATTTTAACTTCAAAATTAAAGTCTAAGGACAAATTACTGGGGAAAAGGATTTCTATTTTTGTTTCCACAGAAAATGAAAAACTGTGGATTCCTTCCAGACTAACATGGTTTGCTCAAGCAAGGCCCTCTGAAGCAGTGTCCCAGATGATCCAACATTCAAAACATCTGGGACAAGACAGCCTTGCAGACCACTACAGCCAGAATTTCTGAGTCTCCTTAGGATCTGCAAAACAGCGCCCCCTACCAGCAGGAAGCAGTTTGGAAAGAACAACACCCAAATTCCTAAATATTGTTTATAAATGTTGGTTTTCATTTAAATGGGGTTGGTTATAAATGGTTAATGACCACAACAAATCTCTTTTTAAAGGTAAAAAGGGGTTTATGGTATAGAAATGAATACTTTGTTTTGGAATGGATTTTTATTTATTGATACAAATTTAAGGTCAAATTTGTGATATGTATACTTCTCTTGTTTAGGTGTTGTGTTTATATAGCTCATTTAAAAATGTATTGTATAATTCAGTACAGATTATAGGTAGTTACCTATAATAGTCAAAACTTATAGTACAGACTGCCCTTGTCTGGACTGTTTGACTTCATGCTGTATAAACTGGACATGCAGGACCCACAGAAAAGTGACTGCTGATACAAGATGGACATTGCTACAGGGTTCCTGCTTCATTGAAGAGTCTGCCAGACATTCTACAGGACAGAGAGAAAAGTGACTGACAAACTGTCAGGTGGGACAGTTTAAAGTTTCCTGCTTTGCTGAGAAGTCTGCCTGACACACTATGGCCTATGGGCTGAAGATGGAAAATTACAGAACTTCAAGTGACTGACCAGGCAGCAAGTTGTCTGTGTCATTTCTAGAGTTTATATACTATCTTTCTGTGGTCTTTGAGGGAGTTGAAGACAGATAGTTATGGTTATAGTTTTTCTTAGTTAGGATTAAAGATAAATTACTTATAAGACTTTAGAATCACAAAGATAGGATAGATGATGAAATATTGTCTTTAAATTTTGTTAAATGTTAATGGACCAAATATTGTTAACTATAGGTCTTATTTGATAACTGTTTTGTTTTTTTTTTTTAACTATGTTAAAGTGAAAACCCTTCTTTTTATTTAGATAGAAAAGAGAAGATGATGGGAGATGTCATTCTGTAAATATGTTTCTCTTAAAGCACTGTTGGTCAATAGGAAAGCAAGATAGGTGGGACTAGGAGACAAGGAGGATTCTGGGATATATAGTAGGAGGAGAGTCAAGATGTAAGGACTTGAGAGGAAGAGGTCTGGACCTTGTCTCCAGTGAGATAAGACCACGTGGAAATACGTGGAATTGGGTTAATATTTAAGACAGAGCTAGCCAACAAGGAACACTAGTAACAGGCCAACCACTTTATATCTAATTTGGGGCTGACAGTGGCTCTGGGTAACAGCACTTGACTGCTGAGCCTCTTCTAGCCCCACCCCCAAAACTGATAAATTCTTGATCAATTAGAATAGCATTTGCAAGAGTTGGCGACTGAGAAAGAGCTGTAAAAATGGAGATAGAAACAAGCTGTTTCAAAAAAAAATAGTCACGCTGTTCTTAGAAGTACACATCTTCTGGGCAATTCAAAATTGGAGAGGAGAAAAAGGTTTGCTAGGCTAGGATTAAACGTCTCCCAAGAAAAGGCAACTAATCACACTAAGAGGCAGTTCCCAGGTCCACAGGTGCCCTGGCAATACAAGCAAGCATCCGCAACTGAAGACAAAGTGCTCGGAAGGACAGGGACTCACCAAGGACATTCAAAACTACACAGCAGCAAATTCCTCCTAACTTGGCATCTGGCGCACCCACTCATTTCCTATTAGTGTGCTTCCAGAGAGTTTGCAGACACCTATCTGGTTTTGGAATCCCTTATTCCAATACCCTACAGACCAGATCATCGGTTTAGGGGACCACGTCCTAGTCACTTGAGTTGCATGGGAAAGGCACACAGCTTGGTTTCCATGGCACAGCCTTGAGTGCTCCTGCTGTCCACTCCAGCGCCCTAGGAGGCTCACTCACTCTGTCCCAGTAGCTGGCAGGCGGCTCTGGACGAGTGAGGGACCTGGCTGAACCTCAGGGCGCTCTAGGAGGTGGTGAGCTCTGGCTCCTCCCCCAGGGGCCGGTCCTTCTGGAGCCCACAAATTCATCGGGCTTCGGGACAGCACCGCACACGACCCGTCCACGCCATCACGGGGATCTGGAGGCCCCCGACCATGAGCGGCCCGCTGCGATCCGGCCCGAGCACATGGCGACGGGCAGCCACCGTGGTGCTGGCCGCAGGCTGCAGCCGTCCGGGTCCCGCCGGCCCTCGGTCCTCCGACGGCTTCCGGCTGCTGCTTCTGCAGCGCGCCCCAAACCAGCGCTTCATGCCGGGCGCGCACGTCTTCCCGGGCGGTACGCTGGACGCGGCCGACAGCTCGGCCGACTGGCTGCGGCTCTTCGCGCCCCGGCACACGCCGCCGCGCTTCGGCCTAGGCCGGGAGCCGCCTCAGCAGCCCCCCTTCCCGGGGCTGCCCCGCGACGACGCGGCCGCCGGGGCGCTGCCCGATGACGTGGCGCTGCGCATCTGCGCCCTCCGCGAGGCGTTCGAGGAGGCCGGGCTGCTGCTGCTGAGGCCGCGCGGCTCGGAGCCCGCTTCCCAGCAGCCGGGGCTGGCGCTGCCGCTGCCGCCTCCGCCCGGCCTGGCCGCCTGGCGCTCGCGCGTGCGCACTGACCCGCACTGCTTCCTGCAGCTGTGCGCGCTCCTGGACTGCACGCCCGACATCTGGGCGCTGCGCTCCTGGGGCGGCTGGCTCACGCCGTACCCGCACCTCAGCCGCCGCTTCAACACCACCTTCTTTCTGTGCTGCCTGCGCCAGACACCGCCCGTGGAGCCCGACCACATCGAGTTGGTGGACTACAAGGTAGGGGCCACGGAACCCCAGACCGGAGGCGTGGCGTTGCGGGATGCTCTCGAGGATTCCACTCTCAGCCCTGGGGTTCCCCAAGCGGGGACACTCTTGCAGAATTTCCACTGCGAGTTCTGAACACCCGAATCGTTACCATTCGGTTTCTAGAACATATTACAGGATTTCAGCCCCATCCCTCCTTTTCCCTCCTATCTTTCTTTCCATCTCCTTTTCTCCCTCTCTCCTTTTACCCTCTTCCCCCTCCTGTCCTTCCCCCGTTTCTAACTCCATTCTCCACATTTCATCTCTCTCCCCTCCTCCCTCCCCCCCTTTCCTTTTTCTCCCTCCTCCTCGTCTCACTAGCACCAGGCACAGTTAGGCTTCAGGCAACTTCTTCATTTATTCAAATGTTTTGCACTTTATTTTTCAAAAAGTAGACAGAATGACTTATTTTAGGTTGTGTGTCTGCGTGGGAGTGTATGCATGTGAGTGCAGGTGCCCACTGATGCCCACTAGTCCACTGGAGTTGGAGCCACCTTGAGTGGGTGATGGGAACTGAACTCTGCTCCTCTCTGCAAGATGGTTCCTCCACAGACCTCAGTTGAGCCATCTCTTTAGCTCCCTCCCTCTGATTTTTGTAACTACACATACTTTAGACTGCTTGGTCTACCATAGGACATGGGTGCCTCATTCATTTCTTTCTGAATTTCATTTTAATAATTTCAATTGCTGGTGTGTGGGGGTTTGTTTTGTTTTGAGATAGGGTTTCTCTGTGTAGCTCTGGCTGTCCTGGACCTGACTTTGTAGACCAGGCTGGCCTCAAACTCAGAGATCCACCTGCCTCTGCCTCCGGAGTGCTAGGACTAAAGTGGCATGCACCACTACACCCAGCAGTTTTTTTAAGTTTATACTTCAAATTACATTTCATCTGAAATAGCAGCTCTAAGTGGCATTTCTAGAAGCATCGCAGCTGCCTATAACTCCAGATCTGATGCCCTCTTCTGGCCACTGAGTGCATATAGAAATGCATGCAGGCAAAGCGCATACAAATCTAAAATGAATTCTTTTCCTTTTCTCTTATGTTGATATTTTTTGCCTACATCTTTGAACCAGTGGGACTGCTGAGAACAGGAGATAGAAAAGAGTCAGGCAGTGTGATAGTTTTAATTGTCAGCTTGCCACAACCTAGAATCCTTCCACGAGCCCCTGTGGTATAAACGCTTACAGTGTCCCCTCGATATAACACTGCACGGCATGCCTGCTTCTCTTGAATTACTCAAAAATCCCTTTTGCATCTCTCTTTTCCTTTGCAGAGCTGTCCAAAGCCTGGGCGTGTTTGCCCAGACACCGGGCTTTCTCATTCTTTTTCTCCCCAACCCTTCTACTGGATGCCCACATAAAGCATGGCTGCCCCGCTTTCTCCGCCCCTTCCCCTTTGTGCTGGCCTCTGCTGAGGTTTATAGCTCCTTTGCCCTTTGCTTTCTAAACTGTAGTAGAATTGTCCTTCAGCTTCTCATTTGTGTGTGTGTGTGTGTGTGTGTGTGTGTGTGTGTGTGTGTGCGCGCGCGTGCGTGCTTGACATGTCCTGGAGTTTTTGATTACATATTAGCATCGCCCTTAAGTTTTCTATTGTTGGGCGCTTGTTCTGTTCTTTTAGACAGTGTTGTACTTTTCCTGGCAGGCAGTTATGTTATTAGAGATGGACTTTATCCTTCTATGTTTTAAATGGTTTGGGCGAGTCTATAGTATATAGTGGAGCTAATTTAGCTACAGTTGCATTATGTTCCCCTCCTCTGGTCACCTGCGTGCCCAAGTGCTGCCTATATTTAATCAAGGCTTTCCCACTGTCGAGAATACACCACTGGGGAAAGTTGGAGAAAACGAAATCTTGGCTCCAGGTCAGCGGGAAGAGTTTAATTAGAAAGCTCCCAGGTGGCTGCCCTCTCCTCAGAAGTAGCCATCGTCTCTAATATCATGTGGTTTTACTCTGTTTGCGCACAGGTCAGAGTGTAGTAGAGTTTTGGAGTTCTGGTCTGTGCAGACCTTCTCAGGCACACTGCTCCCCCCAAACCTACCGTGCATGAGCCTGCCAAATTCTGATCTGTGTCTGCCCTAGTCAGTAAGGATTGGATATTGCCTAGGTGCTCCTGCTGTTCTGTCGTCTGTGAATGACTTTGGGCAGAAGCCCTAGACCAGGGGAAGGTCTCACTTCATTCTTTTATTTATTTACTCACTGGTGTTTGCAAATAGAGTTTAAGTTATTTTTGTACTTTAACATGCATGCAGATGACCATGGAGGCCAGAAGAAGGCATTGAATGGCCTAGAACTTGAGCTATGGGTGGTCACGAGCTGCCCGGTGTAGTGCTGGGAACCCAACTCCGGTCCTCTGGAAAAGCAGCAATTGCTTTTAACCACCGAGCCTTCTGTCCAGCCAGCAATTCTTTCTTTCTGAGACAGGACGTCACTATACTCCTGGACTCAAGCAATTTTCCTGCTTCAACCTCCTGATTAAGCAGGGCAGTGGTGAGATGGGAATTCCCCAGGCCTCCGAATGTCCGCATGCTGTCTGAGAGGTCTAGCAAGGCCTCTGAATGAGTTAGCTTTCACACCAAGTGGCTCTCGTACGCCTGTCTAGCAACCTTAGACCTAAGTTGCTTCCTTTGTCTTCTACAGTGGTTGTCTCCAGCAGAGGCAACTGAGTGTTTCCTGTCCAAGGAAATCTGGCTGGCACCACCACAGTTCTATGAAATAAGAAGACTTGAAACGTTTGCCTCTCTCTCGGCTCTGTATAGATTTTCTTCAGATTGCCCATTAGAGATAACTGAGAAATGGCTGCCGATAATACTCTTAACTGCCGATGGCACCATCAGTCTTTTGCCAGGTGAGTTGGGGAAGTACCGGTGCTTTTGTTAGTATTCACCTTTGGTACGCCCAGGCTGCCAGCAGAGGCAGGAGTTACGGCTTGTTTTATAGCCTGTGCCTGTGAGTGTCGCCACACGTGTCCCCTGATAGCTATGTATGTAGCCCAACACAAAATACCATTGAGGGTTTTTGGGTTTTTTTTTTTTTTTTAAACTTTCTTTGTAATTCAGCTGTGTGGTTCTCAGACATAAACTTTGTAAAAACAAGAGGTTTGCCATGCCTGGTGGGATATTAATTTAAAAAAGGTCAAAGTCATAAAATATCCTGTGACAAATACCTTGACCAAAAGCAACTTTCGGGAAGAAGGGGTTTATTTCAGATGATGGGTTATGGTTTGTTGGTGAGCGAAAGCTAAGGCAGAAACTTGAGGGCAGGCTTGCAAACATTATACACAGCACATTGCTTCCAATCAAGGCACTCACTTCACAACCTGGAAGGTCCCTCAGGACCATGGAGAGTTCAGTTTGCTGGTAGGCTCACAAAGGACTAGGCTTAGTTAGCTTTAGTATTCAATTTGGGACTCCCCGACTAGGGAATGGTGCTTCCCACAGTGGGCCGGGCCCATCTACATCAGGAACATTCAGGACAGTCCTTCCACAGGCCAATATGATCTGGGAAGTCCTTCAATTAAGACTCTTTTTCTCGGGTGACTGAGGATGTATGGTTTTAATAATTAAAGCTAACTCTACGACACATAATGTTTACTTATTTTTGAGACAAGGTCTAAGTGTAGGTCTTAGCCTGGCATAGCATGTCTCGTGTATGCTAGGCTATCCTCAAACTTAGAATCCACCTGCCTCCATCACCCTATGCTGGGATCATGGGTATGCCACTGTGTTTATTTTAACTAGGGATTTATAAACTCCTATATTCATTTCTCACTTTTACATTTTGTTTTTCGAGACAGGGTTTCTCTTTAGCTTTGGAGCCTGTCCTGGAACTTGCTCTGTAGACCAGGCTGGCCTCGAACTCACTGAGATCTGCCTGCCGATGGCACCATCATTAAAGGTGTGCATCACCACCGCCCATCCTTCACTTTTATTTACATTTTTATTATAAATTATGAAAACTTGTAAACAGTTAGCTTATTTGAATTAGGAAATTTGTTGATGGTTATAATTTGGCAGACACTGGTTAGTGTTGTAGCAGGCCCTATTTGACTGGTCGTATGTCTTGTCTACCTCTTAAGTTCCAGATCATACTGATGAGATTGGTTTTTCACTCTAGAGAGGGACAGTGTAGCAGCTTTGAAAGAAGGATTTACTTCTGTCTTATGTATATGAGTGTTTGCCTCCATGTGTGTATGTGTATGTGTGCCTAATACCTGCAGAAGTCAGAAGAGGACTTTGGATCCCCTGGAACTGGAGTTACACATGTAATGAGCTACAATGTTCCCCAGAAGTACACTTGGTATTCTTAACCCCGGAACCATATCTCCAGCCCCTAGCAGTTTTAATGCAAGGAACTCTGGACCCTAACCTGAAAAACCTATGACATAGCTAGGCCAGACCAACTTCATGGTCCCCTGAACCCTGGCTCAAAAACTAAGAGGGAGAGCCGGGTGGTAGTGGCGCATGCACTCGGGAGGCAGAGGCAGGTGGATCTCTGAGTTCCAGGGCAGCCAGGGCTGTTACGCAGAGAAACCCTATCTCGAAATAAATAAAATAAAACAGACAAAACTCTAAGGTGGAGAGTGGTTGAGAAAGACCCTCAGTGTCAACGTCAGGCTTCCACACCTGTATACACACACAAGTGTAAGCATGTGTTTTCTGGCCCGTTAGGGTTCTGCAGCCGCTTCAGCCCCAAGTGAACACTCAGAGACTTGTATTAATTATGAAACTGTTCGCCATTGGCGTGGGCTTCTTATTGGCTGTCTCTGTCCTAATTATTAAGCCATAACTACTAATCTATGTATTTCTACATGGTCTTATCTTACCAGAGGACGCCTGACTGACATCCTCTCTTCCCAGGATCACATGATAACTCCTCTCTACCTACACCTCCCAGAATTTTCCTCATTGCCTAGACCCACCTGTCTTGCTGCCCTATTGGCCAGCAGTGTTTTATTCATCAACCAATAAGATAAATATATACAGAAGGACAACCCCATCACCAAAGTAAATAGAGAATTTTAAATATGAGCTAAAAATAGGTTAACTTTAAGATTACCAGACCAACCCATATTGAAACAAGAGAGTCGGAAGGAGTCCGAAACTTCCAGTGTGTGTGGCTGGGCATGTGACTTGGTGGAGTACTTGCCTAGCTTGCATCAAGGCCTCAGTTTTAATTCCCAGTGCTGCTGAAATATGTGATAAAAATTATAGTTCACAACGGAAGCACTTATAGCTTTCCATTATGATGTGCCCAAAGAAAATACTTGTTTTGGGGGCAGACAGAAGTAGGGACATTAAACGCAACCCAGAGAGCTGGCTAAGTCAGTGGAATGTTGGCCTTGCAAATGTGAGGTCTGGGTTGGGATCCTCTGAGCTGGGGCAAAGAGCCAGGCATGGTGGCAGGCGCCTGTTACCCAGCATTGTAATGGCAGGGTGGTAGGCAGAGCCAGGCAGATCCGTGCAAGTTCATGGGCCAACTAGCCCCACCTAATTTGTGGTATGCCAGGCTAATAAGAAATCCCATCTGAAACAAATGATGGAAAGTTCTAGAGGAGTGACACCTGAAGGTGGCCTCTGGCCTCCATGAGGACTTCCTTTCCTTTAGCCACGCACATACACTTGGTGGAGGGAGACACCCACCTCTTACAGCCCAGTCTGCATTACCTACATGAATACACACGTGTGCACGAATGCGTGCGCGCACACACACACACACACTCACACACTCTCTCAAATGTAGTAAAAACCTGAAACAGAGCCAGAGTCTCAGTGACTCGAGGCTGTGCTGCTGTTCTTTCAGAGGATCTGGGTTCAGTTCCCAGTGCTCACGTCAGGCAGTATGCCAGAATGCACATACGCCTATACATCGCGTGGATTAGTAATAAAGTAAATTTAAAAATAAAAGTAGCAACAAGAAACACTCCGACTAAACTTCAACGTGCAATACATACAAAACATACTGATCTATGTCATTAATACATTGGGGCGATTTATGAAACAATGTTTTGTGGAAATGAATTTTTTACTATTTTTCAGGAGATGAGCTATACCGGAAAGACTCACATTTCTTAGAAAACCCAATGTCTACTGACAAAAAGACTGAAGAAATCTTGAAGGAAGGCAAAGTAGTCAACCGAATGGTGATCCACGGTTTCCTTCTCTATGAAATCTACGTGTCTCTCCTGTCAAACAATAAGCGTGTGTACCCTAAGAGCTATGTAGTGCAAAAGAACCCGCCCGCCCACCTGTGAGGGCTGACTGCACTTGTCTGAAGTATAGGGAATGTGCCTGTCAAAGGCACATTGAGATGCTCCCTGTGCATTGTGCCGGTCTTCAAACTGCACAGCAAGCCGGCCATGACCATAAAAAGAATTACAGATCTTGTTACTAAGATAAATGGTTTCCCAACGGCTGTCCATTCTGTGTCTTATTAGTTTCACCATTTAAAAGAGGGGTCTCCTGCTGTCCTGTGTTTGGTTTTCTGATGCAAGGGTTCTCCCTATAACAGTCCTGACTGTGCTGGAACTCACTCTGTAGACCAGGCTGGCCTCAAACTCAAAGAGATCTTCCTGCCTCTGCCTCCCAAGCGCCAGGACAAAAAGCATGTGCACTGGGACTAGAGGCGTGTGCACCCGGACTAGAGGCGTGTGCACCCGGACTAGAGGTGTGTGCACAGGGACTAGAGGCGTGTGCACAGGGACTAGAGGTGTGTACACTGGGACTAGAGGCGTGTGCACCCGGACTAGAGGTTTGCACCCGGATTAAAGGTGTGTGCACCCGGACTAAAGGCGTGTGTACCACCGCCAGGCTCTACTTCTGTCCTCTAACTGCCCCACGTGTTAGCAGGTTTCTTGATGTGGGGTGGAGATTGAGTCCCGGATCTCTAGACTTTCTGCAGGGATTAATTCAGGGTACCTAATTAGAAGGTGTTATGGTTCAAATGTGAAGTTTCCTCCACATGGTCCCTAGCTTGCTAGCGCTGTCGTGGCAGGTTGTGAAAACCAAGGGGCAGACTTAACTAGGAAAAGAGGGTTTCTGGCACTGGTAGTCTTGTGGATTGGGTCCCACCTCTGTTCCAGACTTCTGTTTTCTGACCTGGGAAGATGTGAGCAGTCTGCCTCGGGTTTCACTCTGCCTCCATGCAGGGCACATTGCTTTCTGCACCGTGAAACTGGCTGAAATAAAACCTTACCCATCTATGTTGTCTCTGAGGCATTTGATCACAGCAAGGGAAGTGTTAATGCAAATAAACAGTGATGGAGACATCCTTCAAGGGAGAGGACATGTCCTTGTCATGTTTATAACTTGATAATTAGCAGTATTTGAGCTGGTCTGGGCTCTGACAGGCAGATGTCTGTGAGTTCGAGACCAGCCTGATCTACAAAGTGAGTTCCAGGACAGCCAGGACTGTTACAGAGAAACCCTGTCTCAAAAAATCAAAAATAAAAAAAAACTGTACAGTATTTGGTTTAAAACCAAGTAGCATTCATTTTGACATCTACATTTTATTTTTTTTTTTTTATTACACTTTGTTTTTTATGGGCTGGAGCACCCACACAGGAGGAGGGCAGAGAATCCGTTCTTTCCTGCTGCATCTATCTCTGTGTGGTCAAGCTCAGATCACCAGCTTTGCTTGGCAAGCCCTTACCTGCCAAGCCCATGCTGGTCCCATGTTCCCAAACTTTTAGACTTAGGAACCATACAAACCACAGGCTGGCAAGATGGCTGGGCAGGCAAAAGCAGACACTGCACGTGCCTGGTGACCTGATCTTGATCCCCAGAACCCAAGTAAAGGTGTGACGAGAGAGCCTCCTTTTCAGAGTTGTCCCCTACCTCCACACATGTGCCGAGGCATGTGCGCCCTCGCTCACATCATGCATACACAGACGCACACCATAAAACTCAAGGACCTTTGTGCCCGTAGCAAGTGGCAGTCAATGGATGTAAAGAGGTTAGAGAGAGAATGTTAAATCCACAGGGTTTAATGTGGGCCATTCCTTTTTGATCGTTAATGACTAAAGGGTGAGAATTGATAGTTAGGGCACAACTTGTTTTGTGCTTTGTCTAAGACGGGGTCTCCACAAAGCCCTGGCTGTCCTGGAACCCACTGTGTAGGCCAGTTGGCTTCAAACTGACAAGAGAGACGCCTCAGGTGTGTGCCACCACCCCCTGGCAGGACACTAACTCTGTGTGTAGCAGATCTTTGTGTTGTGATGTTCACTTTTCACAGACTGTCTTGATTTTCCTGCTGACACAATAAAGGCAGTAATAAATAAAGCTATACATGTGTGTTTTATTCCTAAGGGTGTGTGTGTGTGTGTGTGTGTGCATGCGCATGGGCCTGTCTGTCTGTCTGCTTGAGTTTATGTGCACCACATGGATCCCCTGGAAATGTAGTAAGTGATGCAGGCAAACAAAACCCCCTTCCTCCGGTGTGGGGAACCAAACCCAAGTCCTCTACAAGAGCAGTAAACACTCTTAATGGCCAAACCATCTTTTCAGCTCTTTCTCTGTTACTTAATCCCTGCTAGAGGAATGAGAGAGAGCAGTGGGCCTTAGGTTGTTGGGGCTGTCTGGAAATGTTTTAGTTGTTGCCACCTAGTGGAGAGATCTTACAGGTACAATAAGATAGTCCGGTGCAGGAGAGTGCCCCACAAGAGTTACCAAACCTTGGGTAAAATCTAATCAGGCCTGGTGGTACAGATCTGTGACCCCAGCTACCCAGAAGGCTGGGACAGGAGGAGGATGGAAAGTTCAAGGTCTGCCACGGTTACAAAGTGAGTTCAAGACCAACTTTGACAACCTAGTGAACCTGCCTCAAAAATTTAAAAGAAGGCTGAGTCAGATACATGCCCAGCATGTGCAAAGATGTAACTTTATTTTTTATTAATTCTTTTTTGTTTGTTTGTTTTCTTTCAAGATATGGTTTCTCTGTGTAACCTTGGCTACACAGAAACTCACTTTAGACTAGGTTGGCTTAGATCTGCCTTCCCCTGCCTCCTGAGTACTGGAATTAAAGGTGTGTGGCACCATAACCAGGCTCAAATTTATGTATTTTAACTGTGCGTTTGTGCATATGTGTTCCTGTTGGTGAGTAGAAGCTGTCAGCCACTCCATGTGGATGCTGGGAACTAAACTCAGGTCCCCTGGAAGCACTCTTAACTGCTAAGCCATCTCTCTGGCCCCAAATTTATTTTTTTTAAGTAAATGACCCCAATATGTAAATGTGAGATCCATAGATAATAATATTCTATGTGGCTTCTCAATCTACAAAAATTCTTGTGACTGTTGGCCTTGAGTGGAGTGTTCAAAAAGTCAGCAGGCAAAAGCACCTTGGCCTGAGTGCTGCCATTTTGACTTCGGACTCATTCCCAAGTCCTAGGGGAGCGGAGAACTTGCCAGTGGCTGACCAACCTCCTCCCTACACCATAGAAATAGTCATTATGCACCTTTAGTTCTCTAAGAACAAAAGGAACAAATGAATCTGATTGGTTGCACTAGGAGGCTTGCACTGTGTATCAGTTGACAATGATGGAGCATTCAAGGAAGCCCCCAGTCTCTAAGTCCTGATTGGTGAAAATTGTAACTGTAAATTGGCAACAAATGCCTGTGGATTTCACGCTTATACCCCCCACATCTGCCTCTGCTCAGAGCTGCAGGAGGAACAAAGCTCCTGAGTCCTTGTCCTGCAGTCCTGATAGATCAGTGACCACTTACTCGGGGATTTAATTAAATCTTTGGGACCATAAGTGTTGTCTCTTTCCTTCCTCTCGGTACATAGCAGGCTAGGTAGGTATAACTGTTAAATTCTCATGGAGTGTTACTGCTGGAAGGGACCTCAGTGAGGAAGTTGAAAAATGGATGCATACAGCAAGTTTCCACCCTGGCTAAGAAGAGAACTTGGGTCGGGCAGTGCTGGTGCATGCCTTTAATCCCAGCACTGGGGAGGCACGGGCAAGCAGAATCTCTGTGAGTTCAAGGCCAGCCTGCTCTACAAAGCAAGTTCCAGGACAGGCTCCAAAGCTACACAGAGAAACCCTCTCTCAAAAAACGAGAGAGAGAGAGAGAGAGAGAGAGAGAGAGAGAGAGAGAGAGAGAGAGAGAGAGAATAAACTTGGACAGTAGCCCTGAGCTATTCGAGCAGTTTTCACTCTAGTAATTTTAGGAGATGGCCAAGAAAATAATGACTAGCTTTCCTCATAGAAAAGAAATAATATAGGTATGATTGTTTCTTGATAGAAGGACTCTGTATGCGAACCAGGTTGGCCTAGAACTCTCAGACTCCAAAGTGTCCTCCTGCCTCTGCCACCTGAAATCTGGAATTACAAGGGTGTGCAACATCCCAGAGGTCTCTTGTTTTGACAGTCGTGTGTGGCCAGGCTGGCCTTGAAGTTGCTATGCAGCCAAGGATGGTCTTGACTTCCGGATCCTCTTGCCTCAGCCTCCTGAGTGCTGGGATTACAGGTCTGTGCCATTGCTTGCTGAGATCATTGATGATGTTTTTAATCAGAATGAAACGTGTCTCCCACAAGCAGTCATTCTCAGAAGCTCACACAGCTTCCTACATGCAGCTGCAGCCTGCTCCAACAGCCTCAAATAACAGCTGTTGGTTAGAGTCCAGGCCACGTTCATTACTCTTACTCATAGTCCTTTTCTTATCTCCTTACTCTCTCAGTGATCTGCCTGCCTCTCCCTCCAGTGCTGGATTAAAGGCGTGCACACCAAGCTGGGTCTCATTGGGGATCCCAGGCAGGTGCTCTACCAGTGAGCTGTACCACCTGCCCCCTTTTGCTTTTTCTTTATAAATCTTTTTGGGAAACGATCTCATTTTGTAGCCCTAGCTGGTCTGGAACTTACCGTGTAGACTAGGCTGGCCTCAAACACGGAGAGATCTGCTTGCCTCTGTCTCTCAAGTGTAGAGACTAAAGGAATGCACCATCAGGCCTAATAACAACAAAAAATTATGTGTGTACGTATGTCTGCTGGTGTGTGTGTGTACATGTGTCTGCCAATGTGTGTGTGTGTGTGCATGTATGCTGAGGTGTGTGCCGAGTTGTGTGTTTCTGTATATACATATGTCTGCTGATGTGTGTATACATGTGTCTGCTGGTGTATATACACATGTCTACTGGTTTGTGTACATGTATCTGCTAATGTGTTTGTGTGTGTGTGTGTGTGTGTGTGTGTGTACACATCTGTTGATGTGTATGCACTAATGTGTCTGCCAATATGTAGAGCCCAGAGGTTGTTAGGCATTATTTTCAATCACTTTCCACTTTACTTTTTGAGACAGGAGTTTCTCGTGGAACCAGTACAGCTCACCAAGACTGCTGACCAGCAAGATCCAGAGATCTGCCTGGCTCCTCCTCCCCAGCACTTGGATTATAAGCACTGACCATCACATCCAGTTTTTTTTTTTTACACATGGTTTTCATTCCGGGACAGGGCTCATAAAATTGTTCTGGCTGGACTTGAACTCACTCTGTAGCCCAGGCAGACAGTGCTTTGCCATCAGGCCCAGTGTGTTGATAACTCATAGGTAGGGATTGGGAAGATGACTCAGTGCTTTCTGTACAACCACGGGAACCCGAGTTCACATTCCTAGTATCCCTGTAAAAGTTGGACAGGTTGATCTCCTGTAACCCTCAGTGCCAGGAGGTGGAGACAGGCAGGTCATGCGGTCAGGGTTAATACCAGTCAGTGTAGCCAAGGCACTGACTAGTAGGCTCAGTGAGAAACCCTGTCTCCTAAAGTAAGATGGGTTACCCTAGCTTGGCCTCGACATGTGAGATTAGTGTGGTCTTCAGCCTTCATCTGAGAAACCTCCTATTGCAGAGACCCACAGCTGGCCAACGTGTAGAGAAAAAGGGATGGTGAAGAGCCTGACACTAAATGGGCCATTGACATCATTACCCTCTCCAAGGCTCGAGCATTGTGGAAGGGGTCAGGAAGAATGCAAGAGGGATGGGGAGATGGGCAGGGAAACGATGTCTTTTGGACTTGGCCACCATTGAATTCATGAACTCACTGCAACGGTGGTTATCTGCTCAAGAGTGGGCCTGTCAGCATCTCATCATGGATGGGGAGGGACTATTGACCGGAAGTGGTTGCTGGGTGATGTGGCAGCATTTTCTTTAGTGGTGTAGCACCCTCCAGTAAATAACCTCCCACCCACACTGGTGCAAGTCATTAACTCAGTGGGTCACACACAGAAAGACAGGAAAGTGGGAACTTGTTGGGCGGAGGAGTTTTAGTGGGAGAGGCAGGGGATGGGGATAAGGGGTTCGGATGACTAAAACTCATTGTGTATGTTGTGGTGGCAAATCTTGGTTTGAACTGGACATGCCTGGGAGAAGGGAACCTCAGCTGAGGCCTCCATCCTTTTGGCCTATAGGCATATTGGTTGATGGATGAGGGCTCAGACCACTGTTGGTACCGCTACCTGGAGGACCCGGTCCTGGACTATGTAAGAAAGCTAGAGGAGCAGCCAGGGGAAGCCAGCCACTAAGGCCTGTTCCTCCGTGGTCTCTGCTTCCATTCCCGAGTTGAGTTCCTGCACTGACTTCCCTCGGTGATGGACTGTGCAGCTTGTAAAGCAGATTAGCCTTGCCCTCCCCCAGGCCGCTTTTGGTTGTGTTGTTTCTTACGGCAATAGAAAGAAAACTAGAATGTACATGAATGGAAGGGTCAAATAACAAAAGATATGGGAAGAAGGGGGAAGTGACCATAGGAAGACAACCGGATGTCAACCTGTGGCTGCCGCACACACACACACAGTGTGCCAGGTGATTGTATGGTGATTATATAACTATATCTATACTTCCGATTAGAAAGGACGCTGCGTTTGAGGCTGGCTTAAGGCTGCTTGGTCTACACAGTAATTTCAAAGCCAGACTGGGATAGAGAATGAAACCTTGCCCTAATAATAAACAAACATAAATAAAATAACCAGCTTTTAAGGAACAAAAAGAAATAAGTTACAAACGTCCCATATCAGTAATGGGATAGTTGGACAATGTGTGTAAAATGGTGATGGGGGGAATTGTGTATATACTTAGCAATCCTGTATCAGTTTCATGTAAAAGCTATAGAAATAATCATTTGTATGTGGGCTCTGAGGTTTTTCTTTCTCTGAGAAAAGTCATGGCTAGAAATTCCGTAGATAACTGAAGGATTAATCAAATAAAAATCGTTGTAATAAGACATTTATAGTTTTATGTGTTTACATGCACTGTGTGTATGCAGGTACCCAGAAGGGTAGAGATAAGGGGACACCTT